TGCCTACCTGCGCTGCGCCTCTGCGCGCGCCCTGCCTACCTGCGCTGCGCCTTTGCGCGCGCACTGCCTACCAGCGCTGCGCCTCTACGCGCGCCCTGCCTACCTGCTGCTGCCCGCGCCCTCGTGCGCCCTGCTGCAGCCCGCGCCCTCGTGCGCCCTGCTGCAGCCCGCGCCCTCGTGCGCTCTACTCTCTTGTGCCTTGTGCCTTGTGCCTGGTGCCTCGTGCGCTCTACTCTCTTGTGCCTCGTGCCTTGTGCCTTGTGCCTTGTGCCTCGTGCCTCGTGCCTTGTGCCTCGTGCCTTGTGCCTTGTGCCTTGTGCTTCGTGCGCTCTGTTCTGTTATGTTGCCCCCCCCCCCCCCCCATCCCCTGGACAGGAGTGTGGGGGTGACAGGTATGGGGGTGCTCCGTGTGCGTCGTCCCTTCCTCCTCCTTCGTCTCCCACTGCTGCAGCTGCCGCTGAGGGGGGTGGAGGTGTGGGAGCCGAAGGGAGTGGCGCTAGGGGGGTGATGTGGGAGTGGAGCTAGAGGTGAAACAGGGGATGTGTGTAGGGGGGTGTGGGACAGTTGGAGGAGGCTGCAGCACCTGTAGTCCGGGGCGCACTGTCCTGGTAGCTCAGAGAGCCTGCTGCGCCTGTGTGTCTGCAGCTTCAGTCGTCGTCTCCAATCTTCTCTCCCTTCACAGTTCCTCCTCCTCCTCACTTGCCCTCTGTGATAGCCTCTAGCTTTACTGATATTGTGAACTTTTGATGTGACTGCTGATTGTGCTGATTACACCCCACTTTGACTATGGGGGTGTGTCAGATTATGTTATTTGTCTAGCCTGCAGTGGGGTGCTCAATAGTGAGTATAACCCCTTTTAGGGTTTCCTATTTGTACCAACCTGCTTGCTAGTTCAATCATCCTCCATCATTCCTCTTCTCCAATTCTCCTTCGCATACCCAAAACCCTAGTCCTAGGGCACATCCTACTACCTCTTAGTGTGGGCCTAGGCTACTAAGCCTAGGCCCCACTCCTAGTATTACTAACAGGATGCAGGCTTATGGAAAACCTGCAGCTAAATTTTTTGCAGCAAGTTTACAACCTAAGCCTTAAACGACTTTCATCCTTTAGAAGCTACCAACACGAGCAATACTAACATGTCTTAGGCCAACATTCGTCTAGCTCTTAATCGTCTAACTTAATCTACTTGATGGGTTAAGGTAGCTCTCACCTTAGTAGGATAGGAACTCGTTCTGGTAGGTAGAGTCAAACATGAGCGAAGCTCAGCCAGCGAGGGAGAAGAAAAGGGAATAACAAACCCTAAAAAGGTGTCAGATTCGTCGCAAAGCTAATCGACCTAGAAAAAACTTCGAGTTGCTTAACATAACAGTGTTGGCGCAATTAGTTGAACTTCGATGTGCTATCGAAAAGTCTCCAGTTCAGTTCCTGCAGATGACACTTTTCGAAACCTGACAATAACACGCACAGTTCTTACAGTTTTTTCACGACGCTACAGAATATCAGAGGCTTTAGCGCAAACGGTAAAAGTTGAAAAACTATTCGAAAGGTTTCAGGTTCGATTCCTGTTGTCAACTGCTTTATTTACAATATCATATTTGTACAGAGAATACAAATGGTGTCGAGCATAAGAAGCTAACCAGCGTTGCCTACTATCCTAGGACAGAGACCCCGACGAGGTCTCAAGAACCAACACCGAGGTACGCAAAATCAGCCAGGGAAGGTGGAGTAGGTTCCAGTGGCGTGGAAGGCGTGTCAGTACTGTAGCGTATTTGTGCCCGACGGCAAATGGTTCTGGCCTGCTCGCGCTGATGCACCAAAGAAATGCGCTTGAAGTAGCTCGTCTCGAAAAGCTCTGGAATGAGGTCGGATGTACCACCCATGTCTCGAAGCCGTGTCGCCCCTCGACGGCTGCAGTCCTTGATGAAGCTGAGGAATGACGTACCAAAGCAACCGAAGGTTTCGAGGACAAGAGGAAGAAGCTTCACGTCTGGTCGGTGTTGTAGCGTAGACGCATACAGGGTCCGTTTCTCGGTTTCGCGAGCAGATGCTGCTAAGCCGATGACAGATGCAGTTTTGGAGTTTGGGGGGCCATGCTGGGGATCGGCAACCGAAACATCTAATGCCCATGTTGTCCCCGAGCTAATGTCACGGCAACTGATGTCAGGGCGGCGTCCTGCAAGAAGATGAGAATCCTCCAACTGCACCACATAACCAAGCTCCGATGTGATGCGGTGAACCTCATGCTTGATAGCGTCGTGAACCCTGGTAGGCTCGTTAGCAGATGGACAGTGGAGGACATGTGAGACAATTGAAGGATCCGTGAATAACGAGCCGCAAGTGCATGCCCGGGTGGATGAGAGGTGTGGAATGGGGAGACCAAGACGAATAGCAGCTGCAATGCACCACTCCGTGGATGAAAGCTGCATGTGCGGAGAACATGGAGCCACAGTGAGCCAGTCACCAGCATGGGGCCCGTGGAGGGAGGTCAAACGGGCCAAATGTTGGGGGGAGGTTACTGTGGACCGCACGCGCTCGAGCATGACAGCGTCCAGGTGTTGTGAGAGGAAGGAATACAGCTTCTGTGGGTAGCCAGCGTGGAGTGCAGGCCAGGTGGGGAAGTGCTGCCGGATGGACGGATGAAGCTTGGATAAGGCCTTCGGAATGCATGGGTCAAGGCGGTCCATGGTGTCTGAAGTGATAAAGGGGCGGAAAATGTGAGAGCCGTGGATGGTGAAGCATGAGGAGAGCAATGAAGCTGTCTGTGCCCAACTGCACAGGTAACTAAGAGTAGCAGCTGCAGCTGATGATCGGAGGCCAAACCCTCCAAGGCGGATGGGAAGGAATGTCTGTCGATGTGCTGTGGCAGTGTGGTCAAATGTAGGGGGCCAGTAGTCAAGGCCGATGAGGCGAACAAAATGGTCAAGCAAGCCGTTGTCCCAGTCAGTATAGAGCTCTTCTATCTCGGGGAAAGGCGCAACTGTGCGGAGGAGGAATGAGGGGCGGGCGGAGACGCAGAGAGAAAGGATGCGAGAGGCAGTCTGAGGGTCATGAAGGTCATGTAGGAGAGGCAGTGATGAGGAGAAAGAGAGTAGCTTGTCCCGTACTGTAGAGATGATGTGGGTATCTGAACCGATCGGAACTCCCGCAACCGTGATACCGTTAGGGGCAATGACGATGTCTGGTGGAGGTGTGAGGCCAGAAGGGAGGTCCAAAGGGGCCCAAAGGGAGCATTTCGATGGTTGCACCCTCAGGCCGAGGCTGCTGAGACGAGCTGTAAGTGCTGTATAGGCAGGAAACACCTCCTGTGCAGGGCCAACCATGTACGTGTCATCCGCGTAGGAAGTGATGAAGATTGTTGGAGATTGCTGCTGAATAAGGCGGATGGCCAGATGCTGGGTAAGGGCGAACAAGAATGGCCCACATGGATCGCCCTGTCGAACACCTGATGATGACTGAAGCGTTTCAATAAGTGGGCCGCTTCGGTAATGGAGTGGAGAGGGGGAGGCGTAGAAGAGGCGGAAGAAAGGGATGAGGCTGGAGAACGGGGAGTCGCGCAGAGCGTTGAACATAGCGAAACGGCTGAATGAGTTGAAAGCATTGGCCACATCCAGTTCCAGCACGACCCAATCTGGGTGGAGAGATAGGGCTGACTGGACTGCGTGGGCCATAACCTCGATCCCTGCAGAGACAGCGACCCCAAACTGCAAGGAGGGAAGGAAGAAATCCCTAATCTGCTGCTTGAAGTGAAGAGTGACGCAACGAGACAGCAAGCGCGGCAGTACCACGGAAGGAGACTTTTGCGCGAAATTGCAGACGTAAAATACACTTGTTTGTCGATATCGTCACGCAAACAATCCAAACGCCTTCTGACGTCAAAGTATAAACGCCTTCTGACGTTAAAGTATAAAAACATTTTGATTTTAAAATCAAATAATATGAACATAACAAAAACAACCAAACACAAAAAAGTTCTCAAGAAGCACATATTTTATACATTGTGAAACAACCAAATCTGTACTCTAAACGACCACAGCGATTCAGTTATATAATCATATATTATATGTCATGTGTTTCTATAAATGGAAGTGTAATTCATTCAAAAATAAAAAACATGTTACAACCTGTTGCTTCGCAACCCTAAGACGATTTAGTCGCCTCTTGTTTCCATTTTTTTTGCTAATGTTTCTCCAACAACCCCCCTCAAGGTACCCTAAGTTCACGCCCAATCAAGACACCCCAATTAAGACACCCCTTAAGGGTACATTCCGCTGTGGACACATGTCCCAATCGATGTGTCCCAATCGTTTCTACCGCACTGCATCGTATTACACCAAATTGCACCCTGCAATCGAAATTTTCGCGTCTCTGGTTTAGTTCGGTTCGGAGCGGTACACTCGATTGGGACACATCGATTGGGACATGTGTCCACAGCGGAATGTACCCTAAGACACCCCATCCCGTATCCCATGTCCCCCCCCCCCCCCCAGCACAATCACAACTGTGCATCCACCATGTACGGGACCTCAACCCAGAGAGCCCCGCCTTCCACGTCGACATCGTCCCTATCCTGGTCCACCAAATCGACGTTGATCCCCCCCATGGAAGACGCCGCTCACACACATATTTTTATGGTTGGAACAGCTGCGACCTTTGGGCACCATCCGCAAGCAAAGTAATGTCGGTGTGATTCGCTTCCATTCGATCAATGTATTTGCAGTACACTTCTACCAACATCTCTAAAAACAATCCACGCTTGAACAAGCATCTCTGAAAAAAAACATCTCAACCAGCATCTTTACACCAACAAAACTTGGAAATGTACTTTGTGAAGACGCCATATACACATTCGGTCATAACGTGCGACGCACATTCTTTGGTAACACCCCAGGCTGTCTGTACCTACACGAGCCCATTGAGTGCATTGTGTTGTGCTTATCCTACAGTTCCGCCGCTGTCTGGAGCCTGAACCACAATGTTTTTTGTGTTGCTCCTAAGGTCTATCACTCCTCAGATGCTTGTTTTTCTTCGGTTGGGAAGTTGGAACACCACATCTGGGAGGGAATGGCGCGACTTGGGGCAATCGGCCGTTGCTGAAGCATGCATCACGTGGTTAGAGATGGTTGGGGACAGTTGGGGCCGGTTGGAGATCGTGAGGGGGTGAAAGACATGACACAAGTAAGCAGACTGAGGGGGCTATAAAGGCAGATATGGAAGCACGGCATCAAAAAGGAAGGGGGCTGTTGGGGGGGGGGGGGGGAGGAGGGGGCATGGCTCAAAGGAAACGGTTTATTCTGAGACGCACGGCATAGAATTGGACATCGTGGGGAGACTAGCGAGGAGGGGCAGAGGAAAAGGGAAGCACAAGATGGAATTCCGAAGGCATGGAGCAAGGGAGTGAGGGAAGAAGATATGAAGGTCGGAAAGGAGGTATGGAGTTAGAGAGGAAGTAGGAATGGAAGGAGAAGATTAGGAAACTAGCAGGCTATTCATGCATTTGAACATTCTTGAAATGCCCTGACACAAAGAAACACGCACAAAGCAATCCTATAATATCACATTCATTACAGCGAGAAAGATACATCCAGTATGTCCGAAAAAACACGGGCAGATCTAGGCACATCAAGGCATCAGCACTTCAATATGCGAGCACGTGGATCAAGCTCATTGCGCAGGAGTTTTGTTAACGCCTTCTTCGAACTCTTATTACAAAGCGATGGCTAAAAAAATACAAGGATGGATGAAGGCACATGCAGCGTAAAGAACGGCACGGTATATCCGAGCATTAACATCAGGCCGTCGCTCTGTGGTGGGGCACTGCTTAACCGAGATCAACGACGTGACATTACCACCTCGTAATTTAGGTACAAGTTATTTTGTTAACGCCGCGTCGAACGAGTCGTACGCGTCGCACATGTCGCGCGTGTCGCACGAATCGCACGTGTCGTCCGTGTCGCAGCGAAACTAAACAAACGGATCCATCTCTCCATGATAGCGACTGACTGACCTCAAGCCGTGCTGACGTCAGGGCGATCGGAACGCAGACGGCAAAGATGCCCGCCAAGGCGAACGCGGTGTTGCGACGCCAATGCTTCGGGTCGCAGTACCACCCGCCGGTTAACGCCCAGACGTTAGGGTAACCGCCAGCAGCACCGCCTCCTCCTCCCATGCTGTGCAAATTCCGTAAAGGTTGGCGAAAAGGAAGCGAACGGACGGGAGGATGGGATCGGCGGCAGCTGGTTATGGTGGCGGAGAAATGAAATAGCGGGAGTTGCGGCGGGAATGACGGGAGGGCTGGGGTTGTGTTGGGGTGAGGGATGCTGCTGGGTGTGGTTCTTCTCCCCAGGCCTTGGGAAGGATACGCGATACAAGTTGGCAGTAGCAAAGGAAGTACAATCTCGATAGTACGAACATTTGGATAGTGCTTACCAGACGTTCTTTAGGGTAAACAAACACTCTTTCAACTTAGTCAGATTGCCTGATCCACCTGCTATCAAATTTGCCAGCTCAAATTTTAAAAAATACACGTTCACCAATACCTATGAACAGACAAGCTGGATTGGCAAGTGATGAACCGCCTCCCACCCAACCAGGAGGGCTTGCACCCTCACAAGGTGCGATGCGAAATACTTTTAATGTAAACTCAGTGAGAGGCCCATCAATCAATGAGAATCTTCAGCAAATGCAGGGCCCTAGCATTATTTGTTACTGTCCCCGAAATTGCCTTGTTCAACCACCTCTTTAAGCCCCCTCCCCTGTAATTTCCCCAGCATCATCCTCATCCCCCTCTCTAGTAAAACACTTCCCCTCCACTCCTACAGTCAACTCTGTCTCCTCTTCCCCTCTCACTGAATCTCCCGGAACGTTCTCTATACCCTCATCCAAACCCCACTCCTTCCCCTCCTCCTTCGCCCCCTCCCCACCTCCATCCCCTCCCCCCCCCACATCATCCCCTTCGCCACATCCACCAACCCTTCAAACCCCAGCCACCCCGCCTCTCCAGCCTCCTCCTTCCCCTCCCTACTAAGCCCTGCTCCCTCACCCCACCACCCCGTCCCCATCCCCCAACCCCCACCCCCCCCGCCAAACGAACCAAGCCCAGCAAACCCACTAGCAGTCCCACCTGCCCCAGTCCCACCTCCCCCTGCTGCACCCTCCATCAGCTTCTCCAGCCCAGTAAGGGGCACAGGGGGGAATACCTGGGCAGGCTCAGCTTTGCCTGCTTAACAGGCTTGGGGGTGGAGGTTGGCCGCCAAAACTCCCTCGAGGCAGAATAGACGGCCACCGCCGCCCGGATGGACTCTCCGGGGGACACTGGTGCTGCCACTGCTGCTGATGCTGCTGACAGCAGGGAGCTCTCACTCTTCACTCGCACGCTCCTCCTCTCGTTTCTCTTGTCTGTGGGCCCCCCATTGCTCTCCTCACTGCTCTCCTCACTGCTCTCCTCAATGCTCTCTCCATTCCACGACAGGCTTTCCCCGCCGTTTTCCTCGTCCAGTCTGCCCGCCGTGCCCTGCAGGAGGGCGGTTTCCTGGCGGTGTTCCAGCAGGGCGCGCTCTTGGAAGGAGAGCAGCGAGCGGGAGATGCGCAGCGAGCGAGGGAGCGACCGCTTGGTCCAGTGGGGCAGGCCGGGGAGAAACAGGCCGGACCCCACCCCCATGTGTCCTCTTCCCATGCCCTCGTGCTCATTCAGGGTTGATGACACAAGGGTTGATGAGGCGCCCATGCTCTCATGCCATCTCCTCAAGCGAGACTCAAGCGACTCCTGCCCCTCCTTCCCTTCCTCTTCTAAGTCTGCTGCTTCTTCTGTTGCTGCTACTTCTTCTGTTACTGCTGCATCTTCTGTAGCTGCTGCTTCTCTCAACGCTTGCGTTTTGAAAAGACGAGATGGCAGTGGGGACAGCAGACCCTCCGAACTAGGGCAGGTGGAGGTGCGGTGGAGCCTTGTAGACCCACCTGCCTGTTGGGCGGCTGCTGCTGATACTCCAGGTGCTGCTGATGCTGCTAGTAGGTGCACAAGGCAGGACGGCATAGCCTGAACATCAGGGCAGGAGGAGGTGCGGTGGAGCCTTCTAGATACACCTGCACCTTCAGCAGGAGCAGCCGCAAGAGTCAAACCCACACTGCCCAGGTGGGAGGAGAGGATGATGGGTACAGGCGTGATGTCACACACACTCAAGATGCGCTCACACACCCGACTCGCACTCCCCACACTCCCCACCGCACTGCCCTCACACCCCACACTGCCTACCAGGCTTCCACTGCTCAAGCTGTTGCCGCGCTGCAAAGCCCGTTTAAAGGCACCACCTCTGCTGCTACAGTCGTCTCTACTACTACAGCCGTCTCTGGTGCTACAGCCGTCTGTAGTGCTCCAGTCATCCCTGCTGTGCGTATCTTCCTCGAAAACATTCAATGACGGATCATACCCGCTCATTGAAGGATCATCACTGTAAACAGACCCGGCAAGGGCTTCGTTATAAGCACACCCATCACCAACTTCCTCCTCCTCCTCCTCGTTCTCCTTACCCTTATACTTCTCCCCATCCCCGTTCTCCCTCTCTTCCTCACTCTTCTGCTGCTCCTCCTCTTCCTCAGCCTTATGCTTCCTCCCAGCCATGTCATTCCACTCATTTTCCCTCTCTTCCTCCTCGAGTCCCACACCCCTCTCACCCACATCCCTCCACTCCTCCTCACCCTTCTGCTGCTGCTCCTCTGCGTCTCCCCTCTCTCCTCCTCCCTCTCTTCCTCCTCCCTCTCTTCCTCCTCCCTCTCTTCCTCCTCCCTCTCTTCCTCCTCTCCTCCTCCTCCTCTCTCCTCTCTCCTCCTCCCTCTCTTCCTCCTCCCCCTCTTCCTCCTCCCTCAATTCCACCTCCCTCGCTTCCTCCTCCCTCTCTTCCTCCTCCGTCTCTTCCTCATCCCTCTCTCCGTCCTCCCTCCAATCCTCCTCACGCTTCTGCTGCTTCTGCTGCTGCTCCTTAGTAGAAGCAGCGGTTGTAGCAGCAGTTGCAGCAGCATCAGCACAAGCAGCAGAAAGAGTGGCAGCAGGGGGGATGAAGGCGAGGGCGGATGTCCCAGCAGAGCCACTGGCTGTTGTAGCAGTGGCTGTGGCAGCAGCATCTGTAGCAGGGGGGAGGAGGGCAATGGCGGCAGCAAGAATACATGCAAGAACAATCCCAGCTTTTACCGGCATCGGCTGACACGCCACCAGCTCTGTTGCTGCTGTTGTTGCTGTTGTTGCTGTTGTTGCTGTCGTTGCTGCTCTTGTTGCTGCTGCTGATGTTGTTGCTTCCTTTTGAAACGTCTCAGGAGCAATCCCTGCCTTCACCGGCAATGGCTGGCCCGCCACCAGCTCTGCTGCTGGTGATGGTGCTGTTGCTTCGTTTTGGGATGTCTCAGGAGCAATCCCTGCCTTTGCCAGTAACGGCTGACCCGCCACCAGCTCTGCTGCCTCATAAATCCACTCACGCAGGGAAGGGGTATCCGGGAAAGGTGTGATCTGGGACTGGCCTCTATGAGGTGACATTTGAGTCGACTCATGCAGGACAGGGGTATCCGGGAAAGGTGTGATCTGGGTCTGGCCTCTATGAGGTGACATTTGAGTTGACTGAGGCATTGCCTCATGCAGGGCAGGGAGGTCTGGTGAAGGCACAATCAGGCTCTGGCCTCTATGAGGTGGCTTTTGATGCGACTCAACGGCTGGTAAAGGCACTATCTGGCTCTGCCATTTCCCTCGGCTCTTCCCAAACAGCTTCAGCACTGCCTTGCGCATCCTGCTGTTGCCGCCGATCTTCTCACCACCAGCACCGGCTCCAGTACCAGCACCAGCATCAGCACCAGCAGCAGCGTCGACAGCAGCAGCAGCCTCGATAGCACCAGCAACAGCACCATCAGCACCAGCAGCTTCAGCTGCCTCCTTGCTCCTGAGCACTGCCTTGCGCATCCCGCTGCTGCCGCTGCTCTTCTCACCACCACCGCCACCAGCACCAGCAGCTTCAGTTGCCTCCTTGCTCCTGAGCATTCTCTTGCGCATCCTGCTGTTGCGGCTGCACCTCTCAGCAACACCAGCACCATCAGCCCCACCAGCAGCGTCGACAGCAGCAGCAGCGTCGATAGCACCATCACCATATAGCAGCACCACCAGCACCACCAGCACCACCACCACTACTGCTGGCTGTGTGTTTCGGTAACGCGTTGCTGCCATGACCATTGCGGCTGTCAGCGTTGCTGCAATGAGCTTCATATACTTTGCTGAGCCGCTGTGCTGTCTGACTTGCTTCAGCTGCTTTGGTTGCTTCAATCGGTCTGATAGGAGCAGTCACACCACCGCCACCACCAGCAGCAGCAGCAGCAGCAGCGGCACCAGCAGCGGCACCAGCAGCAGCAGCAGCAGCAGCAGCGGCACCAGAAGCACCGCCACCAATGCCACCACACCCTTCCCTGTCACCCCTATCACTCCTACCACTCTTATCACTGCTCATATCCACAGGGGTTTCATCACTCACCTCCCGCAGCTGCCTCCTCGCTCCTGCCCTCCTCCCGCTTCTCTTAACACCACCACCATCACAGCCTTTCCTGCCACTCCGTTCAATCCTACCACCCCTATTGCTTCTACCACTTCTATCATCCGTGTTACTCATACCACTCCCATCAACCCTGTCCCTGCTGATATCCACAACCCTCTCACCACCCACCTCAAACAGCTGCCTCCTCGCTCCTCTTCCCCTCCCACTCCCCTCGCCACCACCACACCCTTCTCTACCACTCCTGTCAGTCTTATCACTCCCGTCACCCCTATGACCACCACTATCACCACTCACATCCACTGCCCTCTCAGCATCCGCCACCCACAGCTGCCTCAACGCTCCTCTTCCCCTCCCACTTTCCTCACCACCACCGCTACCACACCCTTCCCTGCCACTCCTATCACTTTCATCACTGCTATCACCGCTCCCATCCACTGCCCTCTCATCACCCACCACCCACAGCTGCCTCCTCGCACCTCCCCTCCTCCTCCCACTTCCCTCACCAGCACACCCTTCCCTGTCACTCCTGCCATTCTTATTGCCCAAATTACCGTCCACATTCAATGGAAACTCACCACCCACCTCAAACAGCTGCCTCCTCGCTCCTCTCCCCCTTGCACATCCCTCACCAAAATCCGTCTGAGAACCTTGAGCCAGCGCACGGGGGGCCATGCGGTCTCCATGCGGCACGGCATTGAGCTGCCATGGGGTGGCATCAGCACCGAGCAGCCGCCACGCAGTCATCACCTGCTTCTCACTGCACTCTCTGAGGCTTCTGGCCATGTTGGGCAGCTCCGGCGTCTCAGGAGAACCTCCAGCCAACACCCGGCGCCCTGCAGCGGTGGCATCAGCACCGAGCAGCCGCCACGCAGTCATCACCTGCGGCTCACTGCGTGCACTGGGGGTGTTTCCCATGTTGGGCGCTTCCACCATCTGAGAACCTTCAGCCAGTGCTCGGCACTTTTTGAGGCGCCTCAAAAATTTTTGAGGCGCCTCAAAAATCGACACAGTCATCACCTGCGGCTCACTGCGTGCACTGGGGGTGTTTCCCATGTTGGGCGCTTCCACCATCTGAGAACCTTCAGCCAGTGCTCGGCACCCTGGAGGAGTAGTGACAGCGGCATTGGTCCGCCTCTGCCCCCCGGGGGTCATCACCTGCTGCTCGCTGCATGATTTGACGGTGTCGGCTGTGTCGGCCGTTTCCAAAGCTTTGGGCACTCTCCGCATGTCAGGCGTAGCGGACATTCTGGGTGTTCTCGGCGTTCCCAGCGATTTCGGGGGCCCGCTGTATTCGTTGGAGGATCCGGGAAGACCTGGAAGATCAAATCTGGTGGTCTTTGGTGTCTTGGGCAACCCAAACTGCCCTTCCTGCGTGTCAAGCAGAATACCTGTGCCAACTTCCCCTGACTTGCCTGACCTTTCCAGCTTCCCAACCCTTCCAGCTGGGGTAACAGCCACCCGATCCATGTCAAAGTTCACAGCCCATCCAGGTGGTTTTTGGGACTCGCGCTCAGTCTGCGCAGATATCGACCGCAGATAGTCGTACCTTCCTCCTCTACCAACGGGGCAGGCGCTTATATTGCCAACTGCCCTGGGCGTCCCACAGCTTTCCAGCTCCTCAGCACTCCCAGGCGGTTTTTGGGACTCGCGCTCAGTCTGAGCAGAGACTGACCGTCGATAGTCGTACATCCCCCCTCTCCCAACGGGAGAGGCCCTTATATTGACGGCCGGAGGTTGTATAGAATTGAAAGGAGAGATTGAAGAGGAGGAGGAGAAGGGAGAGAGAAACGAGGAGGAGAAACGAGAGGGCGTAGAAGAGGGCAGGGACGAAGGCAAGGGAGAGGGTGACGGAGAAGGTGATGGGAAGGGCATGGGACAGGCCATACCAGGGGGAGGTTTCAAGGGAGGATGGGCGGAGTCAGGAGAAAGGGAGGGGATTGTTGGCAGTGGGACTGAGGGTGGTGCGTCCAAGAGAGGAGGTGGGATTAGGATGCGAAGGGAAGGCGATCTTCGCCTCAGTTGGGTGCTGTTGGTGCTGTGGCTGTTGTTACCGTTGCTGTTGGTGCTGTGGCTGTTGTTACCGTTGCTGTTGGTGCTGTGGCTGTTGTTACCGTTGCTGTTGGTGCTGTGGCTGTTGTTACCGTTGCTGTTGGTGCTGTGATGGCTGGTGGTGAAAGGTTTGTTGGGATGAATGTCAGTGTTGATTGCACTGCAGCTGAAGCTGCTGCTGCTGCTGCTGCTGCTGCTGCTGAAGCTGCTACCACTGCTGCTGCTGCTGCTGCTGCTGTTGTTGCTGTTGCTGCTGCTGCTGTCGTATAATAAAGACTGTGACACCGGCCGATTGCGGTAGGAGGAGGACGAGGGTGAAAACGAACGCAGAAGGCGGCGAGGAGTGAGAGGAGGGATTGTTGGACGCGGCAAGGAGGGGGGAGTGAGGGATTGGTGACGCAAGAGGGAAGAGGAGGAGCGAGTGACAGGGGAGGGGGAGTCTAGCAGCGATCCCGTTGGGATCTCTAGAGCACAGGACGAGGTAGATCGCCAGTTTCTTGTTAGGTTATGCTCCTCCTGTTGCTGCTGCTGCTGCTGCTGCCGCTGCTTCTGCTGTTTCCCCTGCTGCTGTTTGTCCTGCTGTTTCTGCTGCAGATGCTGCTGCCACCGCTCTTTCAAACGCGTCAACCCCCCTTGCAACTGCTTCTTCTGCTGTTGCTCTTGCTTCATCTGCTTCTCTGCATTAGCCCAATTCCCCCATCCTTCCTCACATCCTATCGTTTTCGCCCCTCCCACACCACCACTCTCTCTTGCATACGCAAGATCCTCTTCCCCTGTGTCCTCGATATTAGTTAACAACTCGTTAACTTCATCCGCTTCCTCCTCAATCTTGATAAAAATCTCCTTCTTCTGCATACCAAATCTGCCTGGCTCCGAGCCTGACCTTCGGAGCACGCGTTGCGGCTTCCGAGTCTGCTGGTTCAGAGGCTTGGCAACAGCACCACCACCAGCACCAGCACCAGCAGCAACAACGTTGGTTATGGAGGCAGGTTGGGCGAAGGGCACACGAGCAAATTCAGAGATGGCGTTGGTGAGAGAAGCGGAGGCCGTTTGCTCTGCGAGCTGCCTCAGATCCTTCAGTGGAAGACCACCCCTCCCACTGTTGCTGCCCGTGCTGGTGCCCGTAGTGTTGCTGCTACTGCCCACTGTGCTGGTAGTCCTGCTGCTGCTAATCTCACTGGTGAGGCAGCAGGAGCAGCAGCAGCGGCGGCGGCGGCGATGACACTGTTTCCAGGCAGCGTGTGCGGCGCTGATGGCGGCGATGGTGCGATGCAAGGGCGCTGGCTTCTCACGACCCGCGATGGTGCTGGGCGGATCGACTGGGGGAGGGGGGGTTGGAAGAGGAAGAGAAAGGGAATAGAAGGGGTAAGGGGTGCGGGACAGGGGGGGGCAGGAGGACAGGGGGAAAGTCAGTCATGAGGTAAGGGGTGGGGTCAGGGGGAAGGACAAAGGCGATGGTGCTGGGCAAATCGACTGGGAAAAGGGGGGAGGGTAAGGTGGGAGACGGGCGGGGATAGCAAGCGTGAGACCACTAAGGGAGCAGGCTTTTCACGACCCACGACATGTGCACTGAAGGGGAGAGGGAGGTGAGTTCAGGTGACATGTGCACTTCATACGTCTTTTAGTGAATGGGGAAACACTTTTTCCTGCCAATCCACTTACACACGGTGTTGCACTTGTAGTATTTCAGCCACTCCACGATTTCGCGCAGCTTCGCCTCAAGCCAAACCGGGTAACCGCTTCGCGCATCCAGCAGCGCCGCAGCCATCGGATCCGACGAATCGATGGCTACGATTTTCCAGGTGGTCTTGAGATCGGGGCTGACGACGAGGAACGCGAGCAGCGGCTTCACCAGATACACCTGCCCCACTCGAGCCTCCCCGCGCCCGATTTCGATGACCTCTAAAGGAGCGTGCTGGCCGCACGCGCCGTCGCACGCCTTGTCGCACACGGTCGCGCACGTCGTCACGTCGCAGGCTGCACTGCCGCATGCGTTGTCGCGCGACCTACAAGAAGAATAGCCAAAACCAGACTGGGAATCCCCTCCGCAATGTTCCCCTTGGCGGCAGGAGCACGTCTGCGGGATGATCCCGAGGTTCCAATCGAGATTGTGACTGTAATGAGCGGGTAACCCGTCAACCTGGCGAACGCGCAAAGGGTGCCACGCCTCGTTATAAGCCGCCTCGATTTGCACCCACGAGTTACGCGGCGTGCAGCAAACCATAGAAATGCTGTCGCCCGCCCTAATCAAATCTGGACCCCCCACACCCGCCGCTTCCGTTGCACAACTCCTTTCACCAATCGAACCCTGCAACGCTCGAGCGAAGCTAACACCCCCGCCGCCGCCGTTCAATGAAGCGGGGGGTGAGTCAGCGGGGCAAATCGGTACATCATTCCACGCGGAAATCGGGTGGATAATCATGGTGTCGTCGTGATCTCGCCGAGACTTAACTATTGAAGTCGGCGAAGAGAACGACGAGAAGGATGAGAAGGATGAGAAGGACGACACGGAGGAGGACGATGCGCTCTCGCTGGATCCCGAACCGATCGTGCCAGTGTGTGGTTCTCGTCGTACGCTGGTGGTGCTGGGACCTTGAGGGTCAGATGAGGAGAGGAGAAACCCCCGGTACAGCACGGATCCGGGAAGGCCGAACTCGATATAGTCACAAGCCTCCATTGCGGAGGCGTATTTTTTCTTCTCTCAGCTTTTCGTGATAGTTACTCGCTCTCGTGCTCAGCGCCGAGTCGCTTCTTTCGTGATGCAGAAACCTGACGGAATCTCGCATGGATCTTAGAGGGCTGTCGCGGCTTCGCTACTAGCAGCAGTGGCGGTGGTAGCAATACCAATGCTGCTACTGAAACTCGAAATGCAGTCGAGAATTGTTTCGCATGTGTAAAACCGCAGGTTCGGCTTGAGTTAAGATCCTTTCTTGTACGTGATACCGCAGTAGGGTGACAAGCCTAGGCTGAGAAATGGAGTACCTGACTCGATCAGCAATCGAAGTGTCGCCGGCGTGTGATTAGGACATCAGCATTGAACGAAACGCGAGCGATCAGCAGCAGCACCGGGAAACGTGACGCCTATTCCTTGTTTTTCTTTCCTTCCTCCCGTTGAATTTCGAAACGTGACCGTTGGGAATGAAAGGCGAGGCCGGAGTCTATGAGAAAGCGACGCGGACGGATCAGCCTGTGCTCGAAGCCTCTCATTCCGGAATGGGTGATCACGACAAAAGATTCGATCGGCGAATCTAGTCGACTTGCCCCGCCCGTCCGGCGAGTCGGCATCTGCATCGTTCCCCGACACCTCCGCATCTTGCGGACGAGACGTAACTGTACTGATACTGAGTGTGGGTGGCACGTCCTTTCGCTGCATTGCCGCTTTCGCCCAATCACCGTCAAGAGTCTTGAAATCATAGAACACGGCTCTAGTACGTCGATCCGTACAGCCGCTGCTACGGTGGCCACACTCCGTTACGGTAATAGTCGATGTGTGAAGTTCTTGCGACGCTTGAGGGAGTGCGAAACAGTACGATGTCGCCATGTGCGAAAAAGACAGCAGAACGACTGAGGATTGTCCCCCACGCTGTGTCGCTCGACATCGGCGGCTCGAAATGTGCACAGTGTTCTGTACTCGCCATCCACGGTCGGGTGTTCTGACAACTCGCGGTGACCGTTAGGACCTTCGAAGCTTGTTTCTGAGCGGAAAACGAGCTCCCTCCCACAGTCCCTCCCACGTACCAATCGTAAAACTCGTATAGAAAAGCGCAGAACGATGAATGGCAAGATAAGGACGTGACGCGAATAAGGACGTGTGGGAGAGAAAGCTCCAGAATAATGCTGTACTATCAGTTTCCTCGGAATCCAGC